CACCTATTTACAAGCTATGCCACTCTAGAAAATCTATAAATAGAACCCTGGGGGGGCTTAATAAAAGGAAGCAAGAAGGAAGAGAAAAAGAAGAGAGAAAGATTAGGAGAGAAGAAACTTCTTCTCGACCACCGCCGCCGGAACTCTACCCGACTTCCGAAGTGACGCCGGAATTCTGTCCGACTTCCAAGTGACGCCAGAATTCCGCCCGACTTCCAAGTAACGCAGGAATTTCGTCCGACTTTCAAGTGACGTCAGAATTCCCCCCGATCTCCAAGTAACGTCGGAGTTCTCCCCGGCCATCGACTAACGTCAGACTTCTACCCGACGCCGAACCTTCATTCGTCGCCAAATTTCTACCCGACGCCAGACTTCTGTCCGTCGTTAGATTTTCGCCGGACATCTATCTGATGCTGGGTTTCTGTCTGTTGCTGGATTTCTACTTGAAACGATTCTCCTGACTTACGTCGCCCACAGACAACAGTCCTTTTGACTTACATCGCCCACCCACTACGGTCCTTCCGACCTCCATGGCCCGCCGATTACTGTCCTTCTGACTTACGTCACCAACCGACTACAGTCCTTCCGATCTCTGTCGCCCGCCGACTACTGTCCTCCTGACTTACGTCACACACCGACTATAGTCCTTTCGACCTCCATCGTCAGACAACGGTCTATATAACCACTGTCGCCCGCCGACTACGGTTCTTTTGACCAAACGAACATGTCAACAGTGATTCTTTGTATTCCTACCATGTAATGCATTCCGTATGATGTACATCAAGCCAAAGTCTTCCCCCAAAGAAGGGCCTCATTTGTAATCGACAAGAATGCTAGTGGATTTATTAAAACTGGGCTAGGCCCCGTGGTTTTTCCCCTGTTTTATGTGTTTTCCACATAAAAATTCTGGTGTCTCCTATAAATGCAACACACTCTCTCTTATCTGATTGCGTCCGAATTTTCGTACAACGCTAAGACGCTAAACTTTATATTTCTCTACCGCCGCCAATACTCCTAGAAGCAACAATATTTATTTTGCAAAAAAGAAAGCATTTATATTTTATTTGAAATCAAAATGATATTCATATTTAACTTTTTTTCACTGAATTATGTGTTGATATGTGAATTATATGACTGTAATAATTATAATTAAAAACAAATAAATACTACAAAATTGTAATTAGACCGTTTATTGAATGTTTCATAATTCTGGAAGAGAAGAACGAATTGTTTGGTCCACATGAGACCGTTGATTGATTTATTCATAATTCTGGAAGAGCAGAAATATGATAGAAAATAACACAAATCAAAATCAAACTGCTAAAATTAACTGTCAAAATTGATTTGCTCAAAACTCCACTATGGTGTATTTCTGCGTGTTAGAAAATGAGAGAATTTATCATTTTAATTTTCAATGATGATGCTCAAAATTAAATGTAATACGAAGGATATAAGATTTTGATAATATGAAAAGAGAGAATGGAATATAGGTCAATTCAAATAGCTTCTGCTAATTATAATTTTCAATTTGAAATGAATAGGTCTCGTTTAACAAAGATGGATCATGATCATGCCTGCAGGAGAAAGTCTTTCTCTTGGTGCAATGTTTAGGGTTTAGCATTAATACTTATGAGCAAATCATGAATCATGTCCATGCACAGGGGCAGATTTGTTTGTTCACCATCAAAATTTTAATATATTACTTTTATTAGGGGTATTTTAGGTATTTGAGAGAAGGCAATTTGTTGTTTTTCCCTAATGACCCAAAAAAAAATCGGAGTTGCCTGTAATAATTTTTAATTTATTAATCATAATGCTTTTGTGACCCAATTTGATGATGATATTTTGTAAGAGTTGAATTTCCTTCAAGAGCGTAAAATAAGACCAATCAATCAGTAAATCTATTGCACGTATTTCAAAGCAAAATCAATGGCTAAAAGAACTTATGCATTTTGCAATTCTTTGTCTAAATTATATAAACAATCTCCCCACCTAAAAAAAAGAAAAATGAGGTTGTAGGGGATTATCCCTCTGAGTTGGCATATAATCAAAATTTATTGAATTTTAATTTCTGAGTATTCAGAAAACATAAATTAATTCTCGAGAGCAAATGTGAGTCTTAACTCAAAATCTAAGATTATACGTCTATCTCCCTCTATCAAATAAATGTCTTTGACTTATAAAAATATATATATATGTTCCAAGTAAAACTTTAACAATATATATATAATAGCCACAAGAGATTTTTAAAACTTTTTTCTCGTCACAACTCTATATCAATTTTAACAAATTGGATTCATGGGATGGCATAAAATTATTAAATGCTATTAATATTGTTGCGTCATAGAGTATTCACGGCGGTAGAGAAGTATAAAGTTTAACATCTTAGCTTTGTAGGAAGATCCATCACGCAATCAGATGAAAAGAGAGGATGCAATATTTAAATAGACATCAAAATTTTTACGTGAAAAACCCCTGAAAAAGGGGAAAACCATGGGGCATATCCCAATTTGAATGAATCTACTAATCAAATGAAGCCTTTTATTGGGGGGAAGGCCTTGTCTTGATGTAACAAATATACATCATACAAAGTGTGTTACATAGTGGAAACAAGAAGAATCAATATTGATGTGTTTGTTTGGTCAGATGGATCGTAGTCGGTGGGTGACATAAATCAGAAGGATCATAGTTGGCGGGCAACGGAAGTCATAAGGATCGTTGTCTAACGACGAATGTTGGAAAGATGACATCATGTAAAAGTCCATTGATGGACAGAAGTCCATCATCAAATAGAAGTTCAACGAATGTCCAGCGACGTTTAGAAGTCCGACGTCGGGTAGGAGTCTGATATTAGGTAGTGGTCTGACGGAAGTTAGGTGATCGGCAGAAGTCCGACGTCGGGCAGAAATCCGACGACGAGCCAAATTTCAACATTGGGTAGAAATCTGGCGATGGGCGAAAGTCCCATGTCGGATAGGAATTCGACGACAGGCAAAAGTTCGGTGTCGGGTAGGAATTCGATGAGGGACGAAAGTTTGGTGTTGGGTAGTAATTCGGCGACGAGCGGAGGTCCAACGTCATGTAGAAGTTCAGCATCAGGTAGAAATCCGGCAACGAGTGGAGGTCCGACATCTGTTATAAGTCCAACGTCAGTCGATGACCATGCATAACTCCTGCGTCATATGACATTCAGAAAGAACTCCGACGTCGATATACTACCAGGTGAAAGTCTGGTGGAGGTCGAGGAAGAGTTTGGTGAAAAGAGAGCTCTCTTTCTTCTCTTCCTTTTCTTCCTTCTAAATCTTGCTTCATTGCTTAATTCCAGCGTCAGTTGGTTATCGGGCAGAAGTTCGACGTATGTCGGTTGCCGGGTGAAAGTCTGACTGTGGTCGAGGAGAGGTCTCTTCCTTGCTTCCTTCTCTTCTATTCTTGCTTGGGCCTCCTCTTCCCCCCTTTGGGGTTCCTTTTTATGAGAAATGAAGGGTCTATTTATAATTTTTTGAGAGTGACATGACCAGTAAATATGAAGAAGATCAGGGATAAATTGGGAGTGATTTGAATGTACGGCCGATGTTGAATCCCTTGATTGTGGATCATTTATTGGGCATTTGAATGTCTTAATGATATCAAAATTCAACGATCTTATGCTCGTTGGATTGGTCTAGTCGAGCCGCTCAATTTGACTATAAGTACACCATATTTGGAAATTATTTGGTAATCCAAATTATAGTTTGAACCCTCCAAATGTGCTTTGGGTCTTTGATTTGGACTCATTTAAGCTCGAATTGGAGTCGAATTTGTTGTCATTGAGTTTGTATTTCCAAGACGTTCAGTTTGATTGTAAGTTTGCTGAAATCATAGTTCAAATGGTCTCCAATTTAATTTTTGAAGTTTCCAACTCAATTTTTGCCTCGAGATTCGTGTCCGGTCAAGATAATTTTTCAATGATATATAAATTTTTTTATAAATATTCATATAATTATATAAACTTTTTTTTTGGAACGGAGGTATCGGTCCGCTGCCATGTCAGCTTGTAACGCGCTTGGCGATCCACTAATCCCTCGGCCCAGCAACCAACTATATAAACTATTTGACTTATTCATCTTGATAAGTCTCTATCATTGAATAAATTTTTATAGGAATTGACATAAATAAATTCCAATAATAATCTAGTAGAAGGCCTCTGAGCTGGCCCATTAAACATAGAGTGAAAGCCGTCCCAAATGAAGCCTAGATATGAGGCCATCTAATTTAATTAATAAAAATCTTTTAAAATTATGATCAAAGTTTAAATTCCTATTAAAACAAATGTGTGCTTTTACATTTTTTTTCTTCAAAATAAATAAAGAAGTATACAATACTAATATAAATAAATGACATGAAAAACTTTAAGAATACATTAAAGTTTTGATACGTCATCAAAAATTGCTTTGATCAAACACGAATCTCGAGGCATATTCAAATTGAAAACTTTTAAAATTTAATTCGGGATCATCTAAACTTCAATTTCAGCAAACATACAATCAAATTGAACATCTCAAAGAGACGAACCAAACAACACCCAAATGGGTCTGAATCAGGGGCCCGAACCATATTTGGAAGGGTCAAAGCATTATTTGGATGATGAAATGATATCAAAATATGACATGTTTCTAGTAAAATTGAGCGTGTCGGCGAGACGAATCCAACGAGCCCAAGATCTATGAATTCTGACATCGTTAAGGCACTCAAACAGTTGAAAAACTCTATACGATCGGGGGAATCTATACGAGCCATCCGATGGAGCACTTCAAACTTGCCCTAGATCTTCTCTAGATTTACGGGGTGTGCCGCTCATAAAAATATATAAATAGACCCCCACTCTCTACATGAGGGGGACCTTTGGGCTGAAAATTGGAGAGGGCTCTGAAGCTTCATAGGTATGGCACCACCGCCTGACCGCCAACCGCCGCCAGTCCTTCGCCCGGCAACCGACCACCGTCGAACCTTTGCTTGGCCGCCGTCCGCCGCCGGACCTTCGTCGGATCATTCCTTGACAACTGAACTTTTACATAAAAGCCGTCGAACTTTCACATGAACTTCGCCAGACCTTGGTGCTCCTTCGGAGGCCCACAGAGGCCTTTTATTGGAGGGAAGGCCTTGTCTTGATGTAACAAATATACAACATACAAAGTGTGTTATAAGTGGAAACAAGAAGAATCAATGTTGATGTGCTTGTTTGGTCGGAAGGATCGTATTCGGTGGGCGACATAAGTCAGAAGGATCGTAGTTGGCGGGCAACGGAGGTCATAAGGATCATTGTCTAACGACAAAGGTTAGAAAGACGACGTCAAGTAAAAGTCCAACGATGGACAGAAGTCTAACATCGGATAGAAGTCCAACGAATGTCCAGCGACGGTTAGAAGTCCGGCGTCGTGTAGGAGTCTGGTATCGGGTAGAAGTGACGGAAGTCCGGTGATCGGCAGAAGCCCGACGTCGGGCAGGAATCAGAAGACGAGCGGAAGTTCATCATTGGGTAGAAATCTGGTGACGAGCGGAAGCCCCATGTCAGATAAGAATTCGACGACAGGCGGAAGTTCGGTGTCTGGTAGGAATCTGATGAGGGGCGAAAGTCCGGTGTTGGGTAGTAATTCGGCAACGAGCGGAGGTCCGACGTCGTGTAGAAGTTCAGCGTCAGGTAGAAATCCGACGACGAGTGGAAGTTCGACGTCGGTTAAAAGTCTGATGTCAGTCGACGACCATGCATAACTCCTGCGTTATATGGCATTCATGAAGAACTTTGGTGTCGGTATACTACCCGGTAGAAGTCCGGTGGTGGTTGAGGAAGAGTTTGGTGAAAAGGGAGCTCTCTTTCTTCTCTTACTTTTCTTCCTTCTAAATCTTGCTTCCTTGCTTAATTCTAGCGTCAGTTGGTTATCAGGCAGAAGTCCGACGTATGTCAGCTGCCGGGTGAAAATCTGACAGTGGTCTGGGAGGGGTCTCTTCCTTGCTTCCTTCTCTTCTATTCTTGCTTGGGCCTCTTTCTTCCCCCATTTGGGGTCCCTTTTTATGAGAAATTAACGGTCTATTTATAATTTTTTTAGAGTGGCGTGACCAATAAATATGAAGATGATCAGAGATAATCTGGGAGTGGTTTGAATGTACGGCTAATATTGAATCCCTTGATTATGGATCATTTATTGTGCATTTGAATGTCTTAATGATATCAGAATTCAATGATCTTAGGCTCGTTGGATTGGTCTGGTCTAGCAGCTCGATTTGACTATAAGTACACCATATTTGGAAATTATTTGATAATCCAAATTATAGTTTGAACCCTCCGAATGTGCTTTGGGTCTTTGATTTGGACTCATTTAAGCTTGGATTGAGTCAAAAATTTGGTGTTGTTGGGTTTGTATTTCCGAGACGTTCAGTTCGACTATAAGTTTGCTGAAATCATAGCTTAGATGGTCTCCAATTTAATTTTTGAAGTTTCCAACTCAATTTTTGCCTCGAGATTTGTGCCCGATCAAGATAATTTTTTGATGATATATCAAAAATTTTATAAATATTCATATAATTATATAAACTATTTTACTTATTCATCTTGAGAAATCTCTATCATTGAGTAAATTTTTATAGGAATTGACATAAATAAATTCCAATAATAATCCAGTAGAAGGCCTCTGAGCTGGCCCATTAAACATAGGGGGAAAGCCGTCCCAAATGAAGCCTAGATATGAGGCCACTAATTTAAATAATAAAAATCTTTTAAAATAATGATCAAAGTTTAAATTCCTATTAAAACAAATGTGTGCTTTTACATTTTTTTTTTCAAAATAAATAAAGATGTATACGATACTAATATAAATAAATGACATAAAAACTTTAAGAATACATTAAAGTTTAATAAAATATTTAAATAAATTAACGTTGTGTGAGATTTAACTGTGTTCAGTACAATAAATTTATTCACAATAAACAAAACCAAAGTTGAACGGCTGCATAATTACCTAACCGAGGGATTTCAAATCCTCCGCCGCTGCTTCGATTGGTCCTTTGGGTCAATCAATATTCAGCCAATAAGGAAGTTAAAACCTCTTTTTCCCTTCGCCTTCTTATTTATTCCTAGGTCAAATCCTTCAATTAATCTCATCACTAAAAAAAGACTTTTTGGAGCCGTTCCTCTCTTCGGATTATCCAAAGGCCATCGACTAATTAATCATCTTGCGCGGGCCCCGCTATAATCTGCTAGGATCTCCCCACGCGTCACAAACATCCACGTGGCAGTGGTCCCGCCATTCCATTGATTTGAGAGACGTGAAGTGCTGCCCATTTTTTTCAAGCTGCTTACGGTCAAAATTAATTGGTCATTTTAATGGGGCTGTATTGCGTTGCATGTGGGCCGGGCCGCCAATCGGGTGGGTTAATTTATCTTACGTGTCAGAGGACCACTGAAGTTGCATTCGGGGAAGTTTTTTTTCCCGCCAAGGCGCTCATAAAGTTCAGTTCCTGGCGGTTTCGAGTCCCAACTTTCGCGAATACTATAAATATGTGATCAACTTCTCTTTCAGTCGAATTAGGATTTACAAGAATCAGGGTAAATTCCGCAGACAAACTTCATCTTCCGGCTCATTGTTTTTTTTTTTTAGGGTAGATTTTTCATTGCTGATTTTGTGTTTCTCTGGATTGGATTGTTTTTAATGTTTCAGATCGGCGGATTCTGTGCTGGATTTTTGGGACTGAAAAACAAAGTTAGCTGATAATTAGGTCGGAGAGTTTTTGTTTCCTGCAATACATAGTGTCCTCTGCTCTGCAAATTACCGAGAGGTAAGAACCAACAGTTGGAGTTGTTGCAGGAAAGAAATCATATGATGAATTCCAATAAGAAATTCACTTTTCTAGAAGAGGGTCCCGATTCTGATCTTGCTCTATTTAATTGCTTGTTAGGGGATTAGCTGTGTCGAAATTGGTTTTAGCAGTTTTATGCGAAGTTTTGGTTACCATCAGTGGAAGTATGATTTCCTTGAGATTTGGATTGGCTTATCCCTGTAATAAGTGTACGTGATTTGCCTGTCTTGCATGAGATAAAAGGGAAACACGATATCAGAGGAGAAAAAAATTAGAAATGAAGGGCTTTCTGCAGCCTGGCTTGGAAGAACCGCCTATGAAACGCAGAGCCGAATTAAGATGGAAACTGGCAGGCCGTGGATCCTGCAGAGGCAACTAATGAAGCATGATGGTCTCTGTCTTGCGGCTTAAATTTTTATTATATTTCTCAATCTGGAACAATCTATGGAAACTTTCACTGGAATTAGTCAATTGCTTAGAAATCTGTGTCACGGCAGCGTGTGGAGTTATGCTATTCTGTGGAAGCTTCAAGAAACGACCCAAATGTAAGTTTTCATGGCCATTTGTTTAGAGAATCTATAATTACTAATATATTCAGTGCGTTTGTGGACTGATCCACTCATCTTATTTTATCATTACTGGGTGGTTCTGTGCATGTATAGTATATAGACCTTGGATATTCGCGGTGGTTGTCAGCTAGTCAGCCTAGTAAGAGTTTTTAAAATTTTGGTCAAGCTCAAATGTAAATTTCTTTTTTTTTTTAGATCAGACACATTTTTTTAGGATTGTGAACACTCCTATATTGAGTCAATTTGATCCTAGCTCAAATTTGGCTCAAAATGCAACTCAAGTAAATCTTAATTAGAGCCTAATCTTGCTCGTTGATATTTATTCAATTTATATTAGAATCAATAACCAAAATGAATTTGGACCAAATTTCTATTTTTAATACAGATTCTCATTTCTTGCAAGCATACATAATTAAAAAGATATATTAAAACATAAAAGCATACAATCATACATTCATTCATATAACTATAATTTGATCCCAACTTGAGATAGCTCCATTTTATCCAAAACTTGGATCAATCTTAGTTCAATTGAGCTAAGCTAGGCTTGATAATTTGGTCGTCAATAGCTCAATCCAAACTTAAACCAAATCAATTTTTTTGTGTTCTTCAATTCGAAGTCTAAGCCTTATTTTTTTTGAAAACATACATGTTTCATTTCCACCATTTCCCCAGCATGTGTTGATTTATTTTAGTTCTTGTAGTTTTATTAGTAATAAGTTTTGACTTTCTCATGAATTTTTAATTAATTTAAGATTCTTTCTCAATTCTTCTTATGCATATAGTTTTTTCCAAAAAAAAAAAAAAAAAAATTTTCCAAAAAAGCTGTGTCGCTGTGACATTGTAGTTAATGTAGAACTTTTTTGCTCAATATTTTATGTTCTTTTGCTCTTGGATGTCTGTACTATGACTAATTTCCTTGGTCGCCCTAAATAATTGGTTCATTTTTGGAAGACAGCATGTCTCTTTTATTTCAATTAGTATGATTTTTAATGAAACATGGGTATGAAATTAGTATTTTTTATTGACATCTTAAACTAATTATTAAGACCCAATTAAAATCCTTTTTTTTTTTCAAATTTCATTTCCACATCCGGATCTCTAGATTTTCCTTTCTATGTAAATGTGAAACCTTGATCACTGGTTCTTAAAGTTTTTGTAGAAATCTCCAAAATATTGAGTCTTTAAATAATTTTTAAATACTTTTTTAATTTTATTTTCAGGCTGTTAGCCGGTGAGGATGCCTATGCTAGTTCTATAAAGTCACGTGTTACTATGGAATATGCTCCACGCACAGGATTCTACAGCAGTGATCCTGTGGTTACCACCTTTGGCTGCGAAACCAATGCTCGAATTGAAGATATTCCTGCCTTTTCCATTGATGTTGTGATTTCCAACATTTCAAGATACTGTTACTTTCTTGGAGAAGGGTATATTGCCTTAAAACTCATTATTACTTGTTCATAAACCCTTGTCATAGGATACTCAAATGAAACGAGGCATGTATTTGGATATTTTTGTTAATTTTTCATGTGGCTGCCTTTTTTTTCTTATAGAAATTTATTTGTCTTGTTTTTAGTTTCAATATCTTGTTTAAAAACAGAAGTGAGTGATACGAAGGATTTATTATTTACATATTTTATAACATAGATTATGTGTTTGATGCCATTGATGTATCTATATCACAACGGCTAAGTATGAACAAGTCATGATCTAAGATTGATAAGTTTCAAAAAGATTACGCTATCAAATTTTACTTGAAATGATTCAACTTGAGGGATACATAGTATGTGCTAGAAACCTAGACATGTATGATGGATTTTTCACTGCCAAATTGGGGAATGACAATTTTGATAGTAATGGATTATTTCATATTGGAAATGTAAAGATATAGACAGGTAAACTAGGAGGAAGCGTGGTAGAGGTGAAGGTGATTGGACCTGGAAGACTTTGGCTTCAATAAACTTACTTTTTGTAGTCTAAGAAGAGGGATGAGTATGAATATGACATTGCTGGCAGATGCTTGAGTTGGGTTTCCTTGTAATCACTCTCAACTTTCTGTATCCATATCTAACAACCATACTTCAGAAGAAAAGCCAACTCACTCTACCAAGAGGCTCTAGTGCCAATCTGAAAAAGGATTTCTTATATTATCAATCAAAGAGACAGACTTTTTGCTTGAAGGCAAAAGAGCTGAATGCGGTAAACATTGAGAAATCCATCTTGACTACAGTTAAATAGTTTAACAAGTGATCTAGAAACATTTTGCAATACCAGCTTAACCTTTTGGCATGAAACATTTCTAGTATCAACTCCACTTTGCTATATTAAAATTAGATGCAATGATGAATTATTCAGGTGTGCAGCTAAACAAAGGTGTGTTTTAGTAATTTTTTGACTTATTTAACAACACTTTCTAAAAAAGCCTGCAAATTCTTTCCTGATAGAGGATCTGCAATATTACTGCTTGATTCATATTTCTTATATTATACACGATTAACTCAACAAAACTTTTTGTGCTGCTAGCTTGCTATCTTACGTAAGTACTTATATTTGTCTCTTCAAGTTAATATTGTATTGACATGTTACTTTTAGCAAAAGCAATTTGCTTTGGATATAGAAGTTACATGTTATATTGCATTTTATCCAATCTGCAATTCTTATTACAGCACATTCTCTCTCCCTTCTGCCTTACTTCTAATGTTTCAAATTTAATTATATATTTTACGAATAATTTATGTGAAAGCTCGAAAAACCGTTTAAAATAGACTGCTTATAAGTGATAGCAGGACCTGGAAGACTTTGGCTTCAATAAGCTTACTTTTTGTAGTCTAAGAAGAGGGATGAGTATGAATATGACAATGAAGCCTTTTTTCCCGATGGATAATGTTAGACTTAATAGGATAGTACTCTTGCAGGATTGTTGGTATAACAGCATCATCAGAAAAGCATAAGTGGATCTCTCTTTGGGAGTTGAACTCTAGGTTACTCTTGGAGGTGAGCTAGTAGCTTCGATAATGTAGAAATTAGCAATTGATTTAACTTCAATAAAAAGTCCAGGAATTGACGCTTTTCTGTCTGTTTACAGTATCCAGAAGAAATGCAACTCCAAGCTGCAGCAGGAATTAAGGTAGTTTTAAATTCGCCTTATCCTTTGCGCCTTAATATAATGTGGCCATCTTTTCACCAATACTTGTCCATCAGTGCCGTTTCCTGTGCTTATCGATTGATTTTATGCATCCTTTTGCAGACAATCTTACTTGTACCTGTCCTTCCTTTTGGAGTCGTGCAACTTGGCTCTTTCTTTGAGGTGTTTTTCACCTCTCTCTACAATTTCTTGCAATTGTCATGAGCACTTAAATATTTAGTTTATATCATCATCTCAAGATTTAGTAATTTCCTAGATTATTTGCAAGATCCATTGTTACTATGGATAGTAGAGCAAAGATTAGGTTGCTTCCACTGTGACCTAGAGGTCATGGGTTGATTGTGTATGCTACATTTCTTCAATTCCAGTGATTAAATCTTGGTATATCATCAGCTCTCTGAAGATTTTAAAATGGTGGCTCAAATCAAGGACCTCTTTTTATCCTCTCAGTACACATTGGAGGTGCAGTCTATTTTTTCCCTTGAGGCAGACGGTGACATCGCTTTAGACAGGCCTATGATACAGAAATATTCGGCCTGTTTGGCCACAGCCACTGAGTCTATTGATCCATCCAATTTTAAACCAGTTGATATGCAAGATTGGACAAATCTTAACTGTGATGAAACAACTGGGGAAGAGTTATTACCGCAACTCATGGTTCAACCCAATGATCAGTTACCACAAGTTGGACTGGGTGCAGATTCTTCAGAGGAAATTATCTGGGATGAAATGTACAACGAACTGCTCTCAAATTTTTCCATTGAACGGGCTATGATTAATTCGTCTATCAACACAGGAAGTGCATTGGTAGGCGATCAATCAATTCTTTCTTATCGTGATGAAGAAACAGAAATGATTCCAGTCATCGGCAACTGGTTGGCTCCTGATGATCTTAATCATATCGAGGAGTCATATCTGGCATTCGGAGAAGAGTCAGATGGCATATTTTTGAATTATCCCGGCGAAGAAATTCAATTAAGCTCCCCAGCCGAATTCCAATCGCAATCAGAAGTTAATGAGCTGACCAACCCTTCAAGTTTCCTCCAAGTACAAGTGCCTAAACCAGTTGAGGAACCTGCTGCAATTATGAAAGATAACAGAGCAGATAATTTGCCAGATGATAAGCATTTTGAATCATCTGGATATCGGACTTCTTCCATAACGCAATGTAAAGATGGAGATTTGTTGTGTTCGGAAGTTTCAATTCCTGGAATAATGCCGTCAGCATTCTCCAATACTGAAGGCTTCACAAGCCATCTCATGAATGTTCAAAATAGCTCTACTAATATCCCTTCATCAAATGATGATCAACAGGATACTATAGAACAAGAGCTCCATAAAAAAAGTAGCAAACAAGGGAAGAAAAGAGGATGTGGAGGGTCAAGGCCTCGGGACAGGCAGTTGATCCAAGATCGTATTAGAGAGCTGAGGGAGCTGATCCCAAATGGATCAAAGGTGATATTGGAAGCACTATTGCATGTGAATCAAGAGTAATTTCTATTTTTCCCCCCTTTTTCATCGTCTTATACTAATTGCATAATTTCATAAAAAAAAAAAAAAAATGCAGTGCAGCATCGATGAGCTTTTGGAGCGAGCTGTTGCGCATATGATGTTCCTTCAAAGTGTTCCAGTCCATGCTGAGAAGTTGAATAAATCCAAAAGAAACAAGGTAGTTTACATTCTTCGCGAAAAGTCAGAACTAACTTTATTCGTTTCCCGAATGTCTACCCATTACTGGAGACTTTGTTGGTGCTGACATATGGGCTGTAACTACAAACAGTGCTCGCAACGTACTTCTTCTTTCATCCATCAGCAATGTGATTTAATTGATTTCTTACATGCCCTTCTACTTTGTAATTTACAATTTGAATTCCTGGGGCTTAGCTGTATGATTGCCATGCCTATTTTCTAAAATTGATATTTGAAATCGGCAAACAGAACGCCATTCGTGGATGTTTGTACAGGCCCAAGCTAATTGCCGTGGTAAATTGGGTTACCATTTCCGATCACAGAAATATGAAGCAGTTTCATTTTTAAGCTCAAAACGGTTAAAAAAAATAATATTTTTTTGATCTAATTGAAACTACAAACAATATACAGGTCGGCACATATTCAAACATTTATGAGAAGTCATTGCCCCAAAACGAGTCGAGTTTGGTGGGCGAGTTGATAACTAAAAGAAACAATTTGCCAGTGATAGTTGAGAATCTTGAGCAGCCAGATCAAATGCTTATAGAGGTGAATGAAGATATATTTGTTGATTTAGTAAATTATGTATATTATACAGGCGATGCTGATTTTGACGCCGCATGCGACTCAGATGCAATGCAGGGATTATGGGCTCTTCTTAGACACAATGCAGGCATTTAAGCGCTTAAAGCTGACAATTGTGGAGGGCACTCTTCAGAGCATGTTGACAGAGCAGTGGGCTCATTTCATTGTACAAGTAAGAAAACGCTGAAAATCCGTTGATTGGCCTTTTATTAACCTTTGATTCTGACTCATTTCTATTGATTAGGTACCAATTGGATTCAATCGCATTGATATACTTTGGCCGCTCATGCAACTATTGCAGTTCAAATTTTAAGGATAGCCCATCCCTTACAACGACAGAGATTAATTATAAGTCCATCAATTTATTGAAATTTTAATGATAGGCTATTACAATGAAACATAATAATCGGCTGCTGCCACTCATGCAACTAGGATTATTATTCTGTTTGAGGATACCTGATAACGTCCAGAGATTAATGAGAGCACACAATATCATTTTTTTACTATATACCAATTCTATGTACTAAGTCAGGTGGCGTGCTCTCATTTGTCTTGAGATGATCCGGTGTCTGTATAGAATAATTTTTATAAGTAGGCACCGGAGTATCTTCTCTTTTTTTGCGGCTTAAGGCATAAGAGGGATAAAAGTTTAACATAATAATTAGGAAAGTTATTATTATTTATAAAATTTTGCTCAAAGAGTTCATAAAGGCAATTTCTGCTGACATTTACTTGCATTTAATAAAGGCCAATTTTGTATTGATCTTGAAAGTAAAAAATATGGATGTCTTTCGGAAAAAATATTGCATTTTATTGTTAAAGGTACGCAGAAGAAAGAAAAAAATATAGCCTAAATGAGAAAATTAGAATATTAAATCCTAACAATTCTGACCCGAATTGAGCCACCTTAATTTGAATCGATAACACATCTCGAAATAGAACTATTTAAAGCCCCAGCTTTAAACAGCACGGACCAAAATGTCAACATAATTCTAGTTAGTATTAAGAATGAAATTACTAAAAAAAATAAAGAGATATTACTCTCCAATAAATACATTTATTAAATAAAGTGATACGCTTCTAAGTATAATTGAATCGTCTATAAAATAAAAGTTTAAATAAATTTTTTAAGAGTAGCATTTTACTCCAAGAATGTTTCTTGGCTGAAAAAACAGTTGAAACTAGATACCAAACGAGAGAATTATCCACTTTCCCCAACAGTACCTATCAAGTAATTCAACTAGCTGGGAGCACAGTTCTTTTTTCTTTTTTTTTTACACATACAAAGACATAAAATTCAAATAATATTGAAGAAGCCGCTTTCCTCGGAGAAAAAAAAATAAAAATAAAGTAATATACCATCAGAATGATTAGACAAATCCCTGTGAAGAAAGCAGTAGTAGTGAATAGCTGAGATGGATAGCTAAAGGCGTCTCCGAGTTTGCCTCCCACTTGAATCCACACCACCATCGGTTATATTAAGAGCAATATTGGTGGTAGCAGCACGTTTCCTGCTTGCAGGTCTAGAGTCCTCCTCTACCACAGCTACAGTTGCTAAGAGGTCAGATAACAGCGATGGGCACGACTGCCCCAAATACTCGAACCCTTCAGTCTGCAGCACAGCTGCAAAAACAATGATTGTCTATGCAATAAGAGAAGAAGACAAGTCATCAAAAGAGGAACTAACACTTGTTTCATTTTTCTTAATATGCTATGTTTCGATTATGAATCTAAAGCCATTCCTTTAAGCGGCGTTATTTTTTGTTCCCTCTGTGGACAATACTAACATGCAGGTCGTCTGCTTGCTTGGGATCCCAATATCCCAATTAGATTTTCAAGGATTAGACAGAAGCATTCAGATATTTCTGATTCGCTGAAGAGCCCTCCATCACACCTCCCTCCCGCCCGAATTCTCATGGTTGATGTTCGATAAATTACAACTAAGCCTATTAAAAATGCTCGTCATTCAAGAACAGGCTTGTAATGAACTCCATAAAAATAAATCATGGTCAACTCATTTTTTTTTTAATGAGCCGAACTCAAATAGATCTTGTTTGACTATGTTCGGTTTGTTATTGGCTCGCCATTGATTAGTAGATAAATAACATGACTATATAATATTCGGCTCATTATTTGTTAACGTTCATTTGTTGAAATTGGCTCATGTTCAACTTGAATTTCAACAAGCCGAACACAAACATGATGCTCACAAATAATTTTGAATATTAGCTTATTTCAAATAAACAAAACTTCAAATGAGCTAAACACAACAAAATCACAAGCTCACGCAAGCTTGGCTACTTAAAACCCCTAGTTACAACTATTGGGCCAGAGGATTTTATAGGGAATGTAGTGAAGTTGGAGAGTTCTGATGAGAGGAATGGTAGTCTTTATTGTTGTTGTCGCCACAAAGTTCAGAAATAACAAGGAAATTGTTAAACCGGTTAAGCCGGTTATGCCTAGATCGACTCTATTTTATCAGAGGCAAAACAGAAGTTCCGCCCCCTTCTGCATGAGGTCCAGCAACCAGCAATTAAGAATGAATTAATACTATTTAGGAGGGAAAAATTCAAAGGAGGGGCTGTTTAGGGATTTCTTTTTTTTTTATGCTTTTAAGTGGGATGTTTTTCCTAGGGTTGGGTCATCTTTGATTTTGGGCTAAAATTAGTTTGTTCAATGGTTTGTTTGGGCTTTAGCTAGTAGCTAGAGATTGGGAGAGCCAGATCTTTCTCTCGAATTGAAGATCCATTGTATCTTGTTCTTTTGTTTCCCTAATTTGTCAATTATAAAGGCTTCCTCTACATTTTCCATGTCGTTGTTCTTCTAATTCGTTGTTTGCCTTTTTGCTAAAAATCAGTTTCAGCCAACTAATTTTTTTTTTCTATTTTTTTATAAGTGTTTCCTATCAAATTACTATCAAAGAAGAGGAGCTTGATGTGGCGGCCTTACTTATTGGGCCAACATCTCATAATCAGGACAAACCAGAGGAGCTTGAAGTATCAGTCAGAGCAGAGGATGGTGATTGAGGAACATAAGAGGTTGTTGTCAAAGCTATTTGGCTATGACTTTGAGATCCAATACAGGCAAGGGATAAAGAACAAGGAGGCTGATGCGTTGTCCAGATATGGAGGAGAGCTCCAAAAGTTAACCATATCATTACCATTGATGTTGGATTGGGGGGCTAAGAGGAGAGTGTGCAAGATGAGGAACTGGGAAGGATTAGAGCAGATCTATTAAGGGATGAGAATAGCCACCTTGGCTATTCCCTAGAGGGGGAGAGATTGATGTACCAAGGGAGGTTTGTGTTGCCTCAGACCTCGGTCCATATTCCACACGTACTTGTCAAAGGCACAAAATGACGTGCAAAATGGCACATGGAGATTGACAGCAGAGTTGCATTGGATGTGGATGCATAAAGATGTGGAAGGGGATGGTGGCTAGATGTGAGGTATGCCAATTGAACAAGTACATGGCCATGGCTTTAGGAGGTTTACTTCAACGTCTAGCTCTACCAGACAGGGTGTGGGAGGAGGTCACCATGAATTTTATAGATGTGTTACACTGATATGAGGGGTTTACAGTAATTCTAGTGGTAGTTGATAGATTGAGCAAGCATGCTCACTTCATTCCCCTACACGGCAATGACAGTGACAACGACATTCATCACAGAGGTGGTCAAACTACATGGGACACCAGAGTCTATAGTGTCATACTGAGATTAGGTGTTCCTCAGTCACTTTTAAAGGGAGTTGTTCAGGCTGCAGAGAACAATATTGAAGAGGAGCACCGCTTATCACCCTCAGATAGATGGGCAAATAGAGGTGATTAATAAGAGTTTAGAGACTTACTTGCTATGTTTCGCTTTAGAGATATCTAGGTTGTGGGCCAAATGGCTATCATGGACAAAATACTGGTACAACACTTTGTATGATTTGACTTCCTAGATGACTCCTTTTAAATTGGGAAGGAATCCATCTCACCTGGTTCATTTTGGGTAGAGCAACACATCAGCTTCTTTAGTGGGACAGTACTTGGAGGAGAGGGATAGAGTGTTGGAGGAATAAAAAAGGCATTTGCTGAGGACTCAACAAATCATGAAGCAGATAGATGGGCATAAGAAGGACATCCAATTTGAGATGGGGGATATAGTATATTTGAAGCTTCATCCTTACAGATAAAGGACGATCGCTAACAGGAGAAACGAGAAGCTGGCACCGAGATATATTGGACCTTACGAGATATTGGAGAGGATCGGAGCTGTGGCTTATCGATTGAGGTTTACCCTGACCGCTACCATACACCTAGTGTTTCACATTTCACAGTTGAGGAGAGCTATTGGGGATCATGCAGGTAGTTCAGAACTACCCGTGACACTAATAGAGAACTTGGAAGTGGTGTTGGAGGAACCCCTAGAGCTTAAAGGGGTATGATAAAGAGAAGGTGGGCTCAAGGAAATGCTGATAAAATGAAAAATCCTACCTGACTATGACAACACAGGGGAGCCGTACGAGAGAGTGAAGCATCAGTTTCCATCCTTCCACCTTGAGGACAAGATGGGTCTTAGGAGGGAGGTTTTGTTAGACCGGTCACTGGACCAGTTCTGTTTTATCCGAGGAGGAACAAAAGTTCCGCCCCCTTCTGCGTGAGGTCCAATATCCAGCAATTAATAATGAATTAATGTTGTTTAGGTGGGAAAATTCAAAGGTGGGGCTGCTTAGGGATTTCTTTTATTTTTTAGGCAAAAATTAGTTTGTTCTAAGGTTTGTTTGGGCTCTAGCTAGTGGCTAGAGTTGTATCTTGTTCTTTTTCTTCCATAGTTCATCAATCATAAAGGTTTCCTATACATTTTCCACGTCGTTCTTCTCAATTGTTGTTTGCCTTTTTGCTGAAATTCAATTTAAGCCAATTATTTTCTATTTTTTCTACAAGTATTTCCTATCATAAATCCCTTTAAAAGCTTTTATTTTTATCGAGACAAATGCATTTTCTTTCATTTAGGCCTTGTGTTGGATCAATTTTCATTATAAGCCATGGTTATGTTAGTCAAGTTAAGTTGTAATGATCGTATATGAGCTTGAGTTAGCCTAGCCAACTCAATGGACAAAATAGCCCTCCATTTTAACCTTGTTTGACCAAATTGTTTGTTGACTCTCATCAAAATAAGTTCACCTCACCTCGTATTGCCACATGATGTGGATGTCCCCCCACTTTTCTTCTCATAAAAATCAAAACAAACCATTAATAAACCTTGGAAATGTAGTACATTCAATTCTCCATCTTGAAAATTACCTTCATGCTTTGAAAACTTGTGAAGCCTACTCAAAACCCACTCCGCTCCCTCCCCATGCCATGGATGTCCTCTCCCTCCTCTCTCAACCTCTTTGGGCAACTCCTATGATGCATCAACACTTCTCCACAAAGAGCCGTGCAGTGTCCGACACGTATCTGACATGACACACGTCCGACACGCCTCCGACAAGTGCCGAACACGTCAAAAAAGTCTGATTTAAAAAATATTAAATACAAATTGAATACAAATGTCGACACGCGTCTTAAATATTTTATAAATTTTTTTAAATATAGTTTTTTTTATTTAATTTTTTTATTTAATTAAAATATAAAACGAAATTTCATATTTTCTATCCACAATACTAAATCAATCGTCTACACTCAACACCCAATTCATTGAATATTCTCATTTTTATTTATCTTTGGTGGGTCGCAACTTTGGTTTCACAATAATGTCCGATGTCATCTCAACATCGACGTCTAATATCTTTCCAACATCGACATTTCAAAACCATCTCAACATCAAAATCTAATATTTTCTTGACACTAATGCTCGACACTAGCTATTTTTATACCACAACTTGACAGCTCATCTTTGTCTGACGTCGTTTTAACATAAGCGGCTAATGGCCTCTCAACATTGATGGCAAATACTCTATTGAAATCAACGCCAGATACTTATTGTATAATATCGATGCCTGACTCCCAACAACAATGTTGTCTTTTCTCTCAATGTCTGATACACAACATCGATACCTGGCTCTCAACATCATAATATTAATCATTTTAAGCACAATTTCTAATTAAATGACTTATTATTTCCAAATTATTTATAATATTATACTTTATTCAATTTTATACACTATTTTTAAAATATAAAAAATTATAATATTGTGTCCGTGTCCTATATTTTGAATAATTGACGCGTCCCGTGTCCATGTCGTGTCGTATCCGTGTCGCCGTGTCTGTGCATCATAAGACTACTCTTGTTTTAGTCTATATTAAGTGGTCATTGTCTTAATATTTCCTCATGTTATAAAATGTTTTGTTAAAGATTGAGTATGTGGCAACTATGATACTTTCCACCCAAGAGGACTTCTCTAGTGAGAGAGTTCATGATCCTAAGAGGATTTATGAGGAAGGAAGAAGATAAAAAAGATGATGAATTGCTAGAGAGGTTAACTGTGTTGCGACTTAGTTTTAAAACCTATGCTTTTATATCATGTGAATTTTTGATGATACCAAAATATTATTATGTTGATTACTGTTTCTCCTAACACATATTGAAAAAGCTGTGCTTGTATTGTTTGTGTGTACTAACATTTCCGGAAAAATATACTCCAGACTGCCGAAGACTTCAAGACAGATTAGATTATGATTTCTTGTAATTGAAGTCTGTACCTTTTTCTATATTTTTTAGTCTGAGAGAATGTGTGATTGTAATTGGGTAACCGTGCGCACACACACTGGGGTAGTGAGTCAAAAATTTTATTTTTAAAACTAATCGTACTGAACGATTCTTGAATCGTACTTGACGATTTGACCTGAGTGTTCCTCCAGAAAGAAGTTAATCAATCATGCCTTGGAAATTTCTTTTGTACTATTTGTATTGTACAAAGTTGGATTCGTACAAACGATGTTCAGAGTATGAAATTGATACGTACCAGTTCGTCCCGAACGAACTCACCATTTTCTGAACTGTTCGTGCTGTACGAAATTAGTTTCGTATAGACGACGTCCAAAGTATGATGGCTCATCCATGTTCGTACCATACGAAGCATGATTTGATTTAAATAATTTGTATTGTACGATGTAGGGTTCGTACAGACGACGACCAGACTACGAAATGGGTTTGTACATTATCATACAGGATGAACCTGTTCATTTTTGAACTGTTCGTACAGTACGATGTCAGTTTATAAATACGACTGCCAGAGTACGAAATAAGTTCATACAGGATCGTACAAGGGTTTTTTGAACTGTTCGTACATATGAAGTATGATTGCATTGTAAGATCCAAGTACGTCCAACTTGAAATTTTCAATTTTCTGGACGGTTTTTCTTGTCCTTTCTATATATGGGTACTAAAAACTGACTGTCAAAACTTCTTCTGCTAATTTTCTCTTGAGAGTAAGAGTGAGAGTGTTTGGGAGTGAGGATAGAGAGATCTTGCAAGTGAAATTCGTGAAGGATTCACAAGGTTGCCCAAATATGAGAATCTCTTTGTAGTTTCTTCAAATCTCTGCCCTACTTCTTTCAAGACTTTTGAGAGAAGATCTTTGGAGAAGTGCCGGTACTCTGCCGTCACCAGGAGGGTGAGAAAGGACGTCGGTACTCTGCAGTCATCAGGAAGATTAGAAAAGATGTTGGTACTCCATCATCACTAGGAGGGTGAGAAAGGACGACGGTACTCTACCGCACCGGGTTTGGTGGAAGAGAGGTTATTGTAAGGGCTTCTCTGCCTTGGTTAACCTTGAGGCAAATCTTTAGGTCTAACAACCTATTCGAACTTTCAAACTGCACTTAACTATGCTTCGCCTACATAAGTGTCAACTCCCATACAGTTAGATATCCTTGTATAGCTTGCTAGATCTCCACTTTACAATTATAAGGTTCAGAAGACTTGTTTAGGTTAACACTACTCTTATTCAGTATTTAAAATACAACTTCGTTATTGTCTTTATTCACACTAGGAATCAAGTCCCATACACTCATAGGTGAACTTCCTTTCCTTCTGCAATGCATTCTAGCTTACTTCCATATTGAATTTTAGTTACATTCAGCATAATGAATTTTAGTTATTTTCTGCATTGCATTGTAGCCACATTAGTTGCCAATAATAAATGTAAGATGATAAAACTAACGTTGAAAGATAAATTAATAGTTTAATCTGATATTAAAGACTATTAATTACTAATTAAATATTAGGATAATAATTTAATTAGTAATATACTTCAACTGCTTGAAAAACAAACACAACATGATGAAATAAAAATAACTAGTCTAAGTAGATAACTACTTAATAATCAGAGTTGTAAATTAACTTTAAAACGAGGTTAATTAAATGTTAAAAAATGATTAGCATATTAATTTAGCCTGATTATGTGTAAGTCATTATATTCCCCAGAAGCTCATATCATCACAATTCACAAGCATAACTTAGCTTTAAACTCACTTCAAATATAATTTGCTTCCACAGCTCATCAGCTTTAAACACCACATAGTCTGTACAAACTAACTTGTTAGTACTATGTTAAGCATCAGATTTCCTTAAAAACATCATAATGCAAGACACTGGCAAAATTCATCTAGCTCTGCTCATTGCAATTCAGATACCATAATCAAATCGAGCAATATTTTTGGAAGGCATTCCTAGATGGTCTTGAAGCCCCTAAGAAATTAGCCTAAATTAGTTGTAAACACTTGAAACATTTCCGGTTACGTTAATGAAGCCATTGTTTTGTTCAACAAAAAAGTGGTTACGCCTATAATACAAAATAATAAGAGGTATGGGCAGCCATAAAAAGGACGGTGCTGGTCTAATATATATGAGAAACAAGTCAAACCTTCCAAATTTTCTCTAGCTGCAGTAAATTTCAGACAGACGGACTTCAAGTGCGCACAATGATGCTGCTCTGCTAGGGCCATTGTAGATGCTACTGTATCAGCATTGATTTTTTCACATAATTTGGCTTCACATATTAGTTTAAGCCGCTCAAGTCCATATCTATCAGCCGCCGCCAATAGATGTTGAACCATATTTGTAGAACACATTGAAATTGACCCGCTCAGTTCAACAACATCAGGGAGCTCATCTGAATACATAAAGATAAGCATGGCCTGACAAAAAAGCAGAAAGAGAAGTCCTCAATTTATACTTACTAAGTAGTTTCAAAAAAGCATATAAGCATATTAAAGAAATTAAGTGTAGATGCATTGGCAAGGACAGTCCAAGAAGAGGGGGAAGAAGTCTTATCAAGCAATTCCAGTTGGTACTTCAATATGAACCGATTTTAGAAGAATATTTTCAAATAAACAACAATCTAGGGGTGTCAATATTTGACACGACACGACAACCCGACCCGGACCCAACCCGGAAAATCCGGGTTGGACCCGACCCGTTTGATAAACGGGTCGGGTTCGGGTTCACAGATTTGACCCGTTTGATAAAACGGGTCGGGTCGGGTTGACCCGGCGGGTTACCGGGTCAACCCGAAAACCCGTTTAATTTAAAAAAAATATAAAAAAAATTCTGTACAAATGAGTTCCCCGATGCTCATTTGATGGATTCCTCAGCCACTCCATAACAAGCTCCTTTTCCTTGCTCCGCCCAATGAGATCATTTAGGCAAGGATCCTGTTTCTGTGTTTCACGAGCTCCGTGCAGCTAAAGCTGCTGCTTCTGACGTCCTGCTTTGCGTGTTTTACAAGATGAAGGAAAGTATCAACACTTGAAATTTTATCAAGTTTCTGCACAACTGTCTCCAGTCGCTTCAAGGTGGGATCAATTTTGAAGAGCACGTTTGCTAAATTTGAAAAAAAAAAAAAGAGATTGGAAGAATGCTGCCGGGTCGCGGGTCGGGTCGGGTCAACCCGGCCGGGTCGGGTCCGGGTTGAAATGTCCGACCCGTTTTTATAAACGGGTCGGGTTCGGGTTGACCCGTTTAGATACGGGTCGGGTCAGGTTCGACCCGAACCCGGTGGGTTGACCCGAATTGACACCCCTACAACAATCCCATGAGATAACTAAGCTTAAAGGTTTTCCTGATAAGACTTCCATGAACCATGGGAGTGTGAATTTTTTGCGCTCATCTAAGCTCTGAAAATCTAGCTACGTGAGGATCAAACCACTAGAGAATATCCCATTCGTCATTGAGGATTATACTCGAAGCCATGGTCTCTTTCAAGATCGGCCATTGCCGATTTGCAAAGCTTAACCCTTGGAGGTGTATGAAGTAGTAGAGGAGAGAAGAAAAGGTGGAAGTGGAGAGTGGGGAATTTCGGCTAGGGCTAAAAGATGATGCTCTTGGATTTTGGCTTTTAGTATAGGTGGAGGGGAAATTAATTAGGTGGGATTGGAGAGAGGGGCCGGCGGTTTAAGTGAGGGTTTAATGGGTGTAATTAATATAGGGGAATTAATTGGAGAGAGAAAAAGCAAGGGAGTGGGCTGGCCAGAAGTGGGAAAAGAGGTGTCCACATTCGATGTATGTGGACCCTTGCATTAATTGTTGATTGGAGAATCAAATCTGAATTAATTTCAGATTTTAGGTGATTAAGGTATCTGCAAAATAGGCGTAGGCAATTTAGGAAGGGATTTAAAATTCAAATTCATTTGAATTTGAATTAGGAAACTTACCAAATAGGAGTTGGGCTAAATTAGGAAAGTATTAATGACATAATTGAAGGGGAATCAAGAGGGATAGGGATGGGTACGCCAGCAGTTTGGGCTTGGGATTGGTAGGCCGACGACTTGAGGAGGAGCCGACTTATGTTCGATGGAGGGGTGGGGGTGACGGTGAGGCTAGAGAGTCGTCAGTTGGGGTAGAGAAGGAGGGGCCGGCGGCTTGAGGTGGAAAAGGGGGTGAGGTGGCCGGCGGTAGGGGTTGAAGGCAGGGTGGCCGGCTGTTGTAGGGAAGAGGAAGGAGGAACAAAGAGATAAAAGGGTACGAACTGCAAGCCCTACCTCTACCGATGGCTGACGGGTGATGCTTAGCCCTCTCCTAGGGTTCTCTCTTCTCAAGAGCTCATAAGAAACAAATGCTCAAAACTGAAATTTTCATTAAATAATCATTCATTCATTCATACAATAGTGAAGACCTCTATATATAGGTTTCACAATAAGAGAAAAATAAAAGACTCAAATGCCCTCGGAGCTACAACATAAAAGAAATCCCTCACAGAGGTACAATGGTAAAACTGAAATATAAATAAAAGAAATACATATATACATCATAAATAGAGACTCTGAATCATAGCCGTCGATCTACGACTCCTCCGATGGTAGAAGCGTCGAAATCTCCTGCTGATGTCCTCATTAGTTCGCCTCTGAACAAAGAAAGGATTTTATTACTTCTTTTCAATTTAGGCTTCCGGCATGAGAATGGTGACACAATAAGCATCGATATTGGTAATTATATGCATCGGGTGCACATTAAACAAAGGAAACAAATGGAAGGGTCAACAATGTCCCCAGATGACAACAATGCAAATTGCAACGTGTCCAGCTAGCATCAACAGAGCAATTACAGTCACATACTGCAGCTCTAAACATCATCTTATTGTCAATTGCTTGCAAAGAGCAGCGCGTCTATCATTGGTGAATAAAATGAGTAGGATGTTCGTCTACAAGTCATGGAGAATGGTGAGGTCATTATTAGCATGATGCAACTGATTGTGTCTTTTGTCAATGAATGCAATAATAGGGACATCTAGAACCAATTAGCAGAATTAATATTAGACCCAACAAACTAATCAAACTAAAATCCGACAAGAGGAATTTAGATTCAGGTCAACATATGTAAGATTCAAAACAAGTTCAAGGCAGCACAATAAAAGACTTTAAAAAATTGAGTCGGATTAAGTAAAATGAAAAAACTCAAGCTTACCAACCTAATAAAGTGGATTCTCTTTAAATTCTATTAAAATTTAATTTCTAATATCAAACTTCGCTTGCCTTTTTTGGGATGATGCGTTCGAATTACGTAATCAAGTACACTTGATGGGATTAGCATTAATTCAACACGACTTGCTTGCTTCTTGTATTGGGTTGGGTAAATTTGGTGTTTATTTGATTTCTGTTCAAAGTTTTCAATCCTTTTAATAAACATAATATATTCAAATTGACTCAACTCAAGATTAGTCTTTTGGTTGAACCAAACAAATTAAGATGAATTAACAACCTAGTTTCGAGCATCCCTAGACTCAACAAGCTCCAAAGCCTTTCTAGGAATTAATCACATGAATTTGAGCTTGTTTTAACATTGTTCAAACCAAGTAAAATTAAGCTCAAATTCAATCCTTATAGGCTGCCTTATGATGTTACATTGCATCAAAATTTGTGTTTGAACATCTAGCTATTTTAAAATTCCAATAACTTCCTCTATTTGTTGATGTCTTCAATATTAAGTCTAAAAATAACTTCATTTTCTAAGCAATATTTTTTATTTGCTCTGGGATTGGGACATCAATATCAACCTCAACATCTTCTTAGTCTTTATTTTTAATGATGTTGTACACCTTTTCCTCCGCATCTTCTTGTTGGGTTGTGTAATTCTCTCAAATTATGCTCATAACATTATAAAGAAACAAACTTTTATATTGCGACAACACCAAATTTATAAGAGATAATTATTCATTTATTAGCCTTACTCATGTTGACCTATATACGGAATACAGAAAAAAGCTCAAATCATCGTACCTATTCGATGCCGAAATGCAAGTTGCTGGCCAGAAAATCCCGCATATCTCGTGCTCGCATTAACTCTGCACATCGGCGAAGATGTTTGGCCATACCTTCGCATTATCTCCTCTGCTTGCGATTAATAAAAGGAGAACAAACTCGTCATTTGTTCTTCTTCCTCTCTCACACAAGAATCCCAGCCCCCGACCCCAGCTACCGCCTGTGTCAACTTCCCTCTGACCCAGCCGATTACCATATTTTACCCACCGACCTTCCTCACGCCTCCATACTACATACACCTCTGACCATCAACCTCCTACATACCCTCTACTTCAATCTCCATTTCTCAGCTGGCCCGCCTTCTCTACTGTTTGCACATCTAGCTTGATCAAAGACCTACAACTGCTAAGCCGCTCGATCCATAAAGTCATTCACAACATCCTGCTTTGATACCTTTCGACTCCTCCGACCGACCTAGTCACGTCAACCCTAGGCAACCTTCAATCCTTCACTCTTTTTCCCGCGCACGCCCCCTCCGCTGGACCTCCAAATGATGAGGACATCGGAAGATCGACGGCTATAATGTGTCTTATGTACTAGTTTATTTTGCTTTCATGTTTTCCCATTTTACCCCTAGGGGTGGTCATTTGATATTGTAGCCCCGAGGGCATTTATGTCTTTTAATTTTTGTTTTATTTTGGCCTATTTATAGGATGTCTCATGCATTGTACTAGATGATGATTAATATGAAATTTTTAACTTGTGCTTATGGATCTCTTTGTGAGTTCTAAGTTTTCTCTCTTGGGATGATCTCTTAGTGAGTTCGTGAGAGGAGAGGCCCAAGTGGGGCAAAAGCAATACCCGTCAATCTTGGTGGATTCCAAAGTTTGCGGTTCTCAAACCTTTCTTTTTCTTTTATTTTTCTTCTTGCATCGAATTCCCTCCACACCCGTCTTCTTCCATAGTTTCCACCACCGGCCAACCTTCCCCTAATGCTAAAACTTACATTTGGTAACCTCTCTTTTTAAATTAAATCTGAAATAAAATTCAGATTTGATTTGAATTAGTTACTTAAACATTGGGGCCCACCTAATTAAAACAAATCCCCTCCCTCCTCTCTCTATATGGCCGGCCCCTTCATTGGGCTTTTCTATCTCCTATTGCATTAATTGCTCCCCATTTAATTCCCCCTAAATTCCCTATCATCCACTTTAATTCTCACAATTAGAATTTGTATTCAAATTCAAATTCATCCCACCAATTTTACTTAATCTGAAATTAATTTCAGATTTCTAATAATTGCACCAAATCCTAACCTAGCCCTAGCCGCCCCCTTCTCCACCTCCTCCCTCCCGAGCCCCCCACCTCCCTTCTCTTAGGGAGATTCCTGATGGCTGTCCAAGAGCTACAGCAGGCCAATCCGGCTGCCAGGCTTTTCCCGAAAGGCCATTTGTGCCGTCTAAGAGCTACAGCCGGCCAATCCTGCTGCCAGGCTTTTCCCGATAGGTCATTTGTGCTGTCCAAGACTACTCCGACGTAGCAAATTGCTGTCCCACCGCCCAGATTGCTGTTTGGACTGTTGTGGGAAGTCTTTGAGGGCCAAAAGAGGTTTCCCATCATCACATGCTGCTGTCTACATGTTCCCAGTTGCTGCCCACTCAGTTTGGTGGCCTACTCTTGCAGCCCTGTTGTCCAAGAAGTCAATGATCGCCCTCCTCAAGGTTCCCGAACCCTGACATCGCTGCTTACTCTTCCTCCAGTGCTTTGGGGATCAAACCGGAAGCTTCGTTTTCTCTGAGTATTTGGGTAAACTCTCCTCCAAATCTTTAATCTCTTAGTCGCTTTTCAATTGTGGTTATAGGTGATTCATAAAGGTTCATGTCATACTCTCCGCTAAAGCCTAGAAGTTGGAAGAGTTGAGTGAGGGATCATCTTGTAGTGACTAATCTTATTGTTAGTGTAGGGATTCATTGTTGAAACCTATCTCGCATGCAACTTTAAGAGTAATTGATTACTTTTGTGGTTTTAACTTTTATATATGTGACTTAGCCTAAACTTATGACACCACTTTCGTGTTTTATCTCGTCGTTTTATCGCTTAAAGCTTTTAAATAATATTGTTCTCTAGATCAAGCGTGCAAGTTCCTAATTCACCCTCCATTCACATATGTTTTACATCACCAAATCTTCTTCACAAACCACGATTTGCATTGCGATATCTATGTGTCCAACTCCAATCGCAAGTCTCTCTCTCTCTCTCTCTCTCTCTCTCCACCTTCATTCGAACAAGGCACAGTATAAGCCATCACGACCTCCAGGCAACCAAACCAAAATGCCACAAAGCCATAACACCTCTTCCACTTCCCACTGGATCTTACTATTGTGCAGATCCCATTGTGGAGCTCCGTCCGAACCTCCTAAATCCGCCAAGCTCCCAGCTCGTTCGAATCCCTCTACCCGTCACCTCTAGATCCATTCATATAGTTGAACTCACTGTCTCCGAATTTCACGTACATATCTAGCTTGCACTTCTCTCTCTCCAACGTTTGCTTGCACATGACTCAAGCAAACTATAGGGGACCTGATTCTAATTGCACAATAGGGAACTGGACCCTAAATTTCTAAAATGCACAATTAATAATACCAATGCTAAATAATAATTCAAGCATTAATGAACAATTGAGGAACCTATGTTGAACAAAACTCTAGGCAAATATGTCAAACAACAATACATACAAGGAACCATCCATGAGTGGTAATGGGGATATGCAACAATATGTTTGCAATCAAATAACGAAAAAATAGACAACAAATATCTCAAGAATACCCCGCAAGCGATGTTAGTCGACTACAAAAGAATACAAGCATATCTCCTACATGCAACAATGAAGAACTTGCTATGCAAGCAACAGTCAACCTGTAGATTGAAGAGACAATGAATGTAGCAACCTCATGCTGTTAACATCAACATCTCGCGTACAACTAGTGTTACCACAAGCAAGTACACTAAGTTACCAATGAATAATAATGGTGGACATAACGCAAGTGTAATAACTTCCTTACAAACACATCTAGGAGATTGCAGTGAACACTCAAGTAGCTATCAAGCTGGTACACTTTAATCTCGTAATTAAAAGGAACAAATATGCATTAACTACTGCCAGCCCACATGTGCAAGAAGCATCTAGTGATGAAAGCAGCGTTGTTCGATAGTTGGTGTTAGCATGTAGATGGATATACAAATCTATATGCAGTCAACAACAAATAGCTGACGACCAATAATGGATGCAATGCAACTGGTAGCCTACATCAACACGCAAAAATGAGCAAAAAATCACTTATGAATGATGATTAATTGATGTGCAATGCTTGTGCTCGTGGAAGACGTGTGATAGTTGCAATTCATGACTGAAGTATGAAAAGTCTGCAGTAAATATTACAACATCCTTCCAACGTATGCGTGCACTCACGATCAATGATAATCAAGCAAAAGAGTTGCCAATACCTAAACATGGAGCTTCACTTTTTGTAAACATGGAGCTTTACATAAAGTATAGCATCCAAAAGAAAGAAAGGTGACCTCAGTTCATACAAAGCAAATTACAAACAAACAAAAGTTCAGCGGATAAAAACTACTTCAACAACCTAATAAAATGAATATGAAGGAGACGTAATAAATAAGACAACAAGATTTAAATGCCTTAGTTGAAGCTAACAAGAAGGATACCTTGAAAACAGGAGGTTCCACATCCTCAACTACAATCTTCTCCACATTTGGATTCCCAATTAGCCCAAAAAAATGGGCTTTAAACACTGGAGAACGAGCAGCAAGAATAAGTTTATGAGCTTTAAATGTTTCATCACCAACCTCAAAAATGATATCCGAGCCAAGGCCAGATTTAAGCAGCTCCTTAAGAGAATATCCCATATCTGATGGTGGAACAGGAATTGTGAGCTGCCTCACCGTAACAAGATTGTTCCTGACAACACCAACGGTACATTGCATGACCAAACAGTCATCTTTAAGGTAATCGGATGCCTCCAAGGATGTTCTTCTATAAAACCTTTTGTAACCCCTGGAGATATGTCAAGGGTGGGCTGAAAACGTCACTAACTATAAATCAAAAGAATAGACACCAGATTACATGAACACAAACAACAATGCAATATAATACTTGACATACCTTTAGTACAGTTTATTACGCTAACAATAAAATTTGGTATTAAGAAGTGACTTATCTTTAATCAACTTTTTTTATTATGAATGAAAAGGCAGAAAATTGTTTTTTTTTTGGCAAGCACTCTACACAGAGGCTCAACAGCAGAAACGTTTACCAACAGCAGGAAAACAGAAAGATGCACCGAGAGTAACATAGATGGTTCAAACATCATGACGATCAAGAGAAATGCCAGCAGAAATAAGGAAATATTCAAACTGGTGACTGCCCAGGATCAAGATTAGCAATCAAGCCTGACCGCAAAGCACCATGCCATCTACTTGAGGTTTTTGTTCCACTGCATTAGCCATATTCAAGTCATCTAACAGGCTAAATTCATCCATCCAAGAGTAACCGGAAGCATTTTGAGAAGTACCATCTTGATCTTCATCGTCATCACCCAACAGCATAGAACTTTGACTGCTGAAGCCTACAAGATCAACTATGAAGGTATACTGTCTCCCTCCAGGAGGAAAAAGATTTTATGACCAGAATAAAATGGACTAAAATATTTTACAGCAGGAGGTCATCAGAGAAGAAGATTTGCTTGAAATAATCCAAAACTTCAATCAGATATGTCCGATGACAGAAAAAGCAGCAATTGTCCAGACCATTTTTTGAAGCTTGAATAAGTGCAATATTTCATATGTCATACATGCTATTGTTTAAGGAATGGTCATATCACTACAAATTTTACAAAAGTTTTGCCAAATATTATGTTTGGGTGGACAAATAAGAAAGAGATTTCTAGAAGTTTCCATCTCAACATGATGAAAGTAGCAAGTTCCTTTTACAGTCCAACCTTTCTTACAGAAATTGTATGCAGTAATAAGTCCGTTTTTAAAGGTAACCAGATGAAATGAGATTTTTAGAAGCTTTCATCTCAGTAAAATGAAAGTAGCAAGTTGCATTTCCAACTTTTCTTACAGAAGTTGTACTCATTAACATGTTCATTATTAAAACGTAACCAGATGAACATTTTAACTTTTGAAAGAACATCAAATTCATTAGAAACAATAATCTTCGATGTTAAACTTCATAATCTTGCAAATTCTAATAAGAATTCGTGGTAAAACTGGCCATTTCCATGAAGCTCTTAACTGTTTTGTTATTGACAGTAGTCAAGAATATTAACAAAATAACAAGAACAACAATATCAAGCCTTTGTCCCACTATGAGGGGTCGGCTACATGAATCCTTTTTCGCCATTGTGTCCTCCGTTTAATGTGACCAAACGATCTAAAGTAGGAGGAAAATTAGTAATGGTAACATTAGGAAGGAGTTCATAATAACTTGTCAACACTAACATTTTAATTAGAATAGTGAACATTCATAAGCAAAGACATATATCACATATCATGCCAAAGAAAATAGATTTATAATTTCTAGCAAGGTGGTTATCCCAACCTAAAAAGAGCTTCCAATTTCAAGTAATGAGAGCTTATGGCATCCTTTAGACTATAAATGAATAGTTTATATCTTAGTTTCTCAATCAATGCTAGAAAAAAAAGGGTCTATAAATGGGGTTCCTTTGATAAAAAATTGTTTCATGATTTGAACTTGTGGGATTCAAGCATTAGACATAATGAAGACAACCTAACCATTGCTTTTATATCAAAAAAAACCTTTCAAGAGCCTTTTAACTCATCTCAAAGAATAGGACAAGACATCTAAGGAATACTTATTATATCTCCATTCTTTAATTTATGCGGACATCCGCACGAAGATCTGGCGCATCTATCACAGAAGGCGTCGTAAATCGACAGCTCTAATTTAAATTGTTATTTAAAATTTATTTTATGAATTTTAGCTATTATTTTATGTTATTTTCTGTTTTACCCATAGGTTAGTTTATTTGAGTGTTATGGCCCAAGGGGCATTTTTGTAATTTTTTATTTTCTCATGTTATGGCCTATATATAGGGCCTTAAGCTATTGTAATATGATGGTTAATGGATATGAAAATTTTGTGTTTTCCACACTTGTGTTCTTCTTGAGAGAGGACGAGAGTGAGATTTATACGGGAAGGAATCGAAGTTGTCACCAGCCGCAGGATGGGCCCGGGCTCGTGATTTGAAGTCCCCCATGGAGAAGGGCACCGAATCACCCGTCAGTCTTCGGAAGAGTCCGAGGCTCGCGGTTTTTATTTTCTCTCTTTCGTTTTATCTTCTATCTTTCGTTTTTTATCTTATCTTTGTTTTTATTTTGTTTCTTTTACTGCTCCCCGCAGTCGTATTCATAATGTCATCTTTCCTCCTCCCCATCTCCGTTTGGCCGCCGGATTTTCACCTCCACCCGAAATCCCCCCATACCCGAACCCATGCTGCCGGCTCCACCCCATTAGCCGCTGGCCGAACCTTCCTCTCCACCCCCTTTTGGATTTCCTAATTTAGTTGGGTTAATTTAGGGATTGATTTGAATTTGAAATTATTCAAATTCAAATTTCAAATTCTTTCCTAATTTAGTTCATCTATTTTTGGAAATTGCTTTATTGAAATCAATTTGAAATTAAATTCAAAATCTGATTTATTGCCTCACTTTCATAACTCTTAATTTAAATTCATTTGAATTCTAAATTCAATTGAATTTTAAATTCAAATCTAAGAGCATTAAAACATCACATTCAATGCCCCTCACAACCTCATTACTGCTGCCGTCCATCACTCTTGGGCTTGGATTAGGAAACTCTTCCTAATTCCTAATGTCTCTGTTTAGAAATAACTCCACCTCTTGTTAGCTGAAACGTTTAAAGCCAACCCCTTTAATTGGTTTCCAAAATCTGAGAATAAACATTAGGAAATATTTCCATATTTCACTCCCAGTTTTCAGTTCTACATCATTTATATGATAAATCCAAAATATTTGAACATATCAAATTTAAGTATAATTTTATCTTTTAGTAATACTGGCTAATAATTAGCAATATTATACCAATGAAATCACATATTATACACTCGATCTTTATTCTATTGATTCCAAGCCTTTTATATTTTCAATAATTTTATCATTATTCTAATTTGTCACTTCTTTCGCTAGAAGTATTACAAGTTATTAGTGTTAATTACAAAAGGCATACATCAAAGGACCTCATCTTGAGAAGAAGAAGAATAAAAAAATGTAAGTTTGGATTCCCCAAATCCAGGCCTCAGGGCAATGGCATGCTAAACACCACATGCATGCATGTTGGCATCTCCTGCACTTGCCTTATTAGATGTGATCCCATGCTAGTGCCAAGCTCCCTAAGTCCTCTATTCTCAGCATTTTAATCATTACTGAGAGCAAGAGAAACCCACCTCCTATATAAAGGTCCCTCCAAAGAAAGAATGGAGCACCAAGAAAGGGAAACAAGCATAATGTCATTGAAATGCCATCAAAATCTCAAATTAATCATTGCAAGCTCTTCCTCTAAAATACAAGATTCAAATGAACCCATATATAAATGCAAGAATACATTGTTAATCATCCCTCTGGTGATGAGAGAGAACTTTCGATTATAGCTAGTCTTAGATAGGCACAAAATGCTTAGCGTATGGTCATAGCAATTTGATAAAGGATTGAAATTACTACTTCATACTTAAAGCAAATGATGAGAGGAATGATGAAGAACCCATTCAATATCCCATGATTTCGTCATCTAATGTTGTCACAGTCCCCAATCTACTTAGACATAGGAGACATCTACCCAACCTAATTGAATGATCCTTATCGACAGTTGAGGGAAACTTTTTATGAGGGCTTTTGGACCTTTTTGTATCAAATCCCTTAATCTGAGTTGATATTTAGTAGTAAGATTTTCCTTAAAAAGCTTAAAATGTCCTCATAGAAAGCTTCCTCCACCAAATTATGTTCAAAGAAATAGCAAAATCGATAGTATGATCAAACTAGTTTATACTTGATGAGTCGAGGGATTAAGAGTTTGTTTGAGACAGTTTTTTTACTACTTAGCATTTTAGATTAAAACCACGATTCTATTTGGCTACCACTTTCTTGATGCTTTCTTGTTGTTTTCTAGAAATTTATGTGTTGGGAAGCTGCTTTTTATAACTAGAATTGCTAATCTGTAATGACTTTAAAAACATAAGTTTGATTTTTAAAAAAGAACATATAGTTATTTTTCCTACAATAGTTTCACAAATATATTTACAAAAAATGCAAATTTTCCAAATATACCCTAAATTGAATTATGAAAAACTTCCGGATCAAATTGATGTGCCTTGGAAGAAAAATCAGAAATAAACAAAAAGAAAAATGCAGAAATACCAAAACGATGGCTGATTTTGTATTAATACTTCAATAAGAAAACAATATATAGTTGATCTACAATTCGAGAGATAGATCTACTCTCCCAAACAACCTAGACAATGCTAGGAAGCCTCCAAGAAAAGAACCACAGCAAAAAAAAATCCAAAAATATGCATCTACTTAAAGCATACAATAAACATCAAATACAAAAATAGCTCTCCCTTAATTTCCTCCCAAATCAGCCCTCTTTCCTTACTTATTTTCCTCTCCTTTTTGAATTCAATATGAACTATTTTCTAATTAATATTCTCCCAGCCTCCCTCTCCTCCTTGCATTAATTCCTTGGACCCCAATGGGGTCGGACCAGGCTTCCGCCTAGAGTAAACAAGGGTCGGTCCCTTGTGCTGGACCGGTCCCTCCTGGACCAGTCTAACACAAAGTTGACAAAGTAGAAGGTCTAAGAACAATTTTGATCAATTACTCTAAAATGAGCCAAAATGATTGAGCGGTGAAAATACGAGAATGCATTGAGAGAAATAATGAGAGCAACATCTATTGAGTATATGACAGTGGAAAATCAAGTTTACAATAACATCAAACCTTTATCCCACTATATAG